ATTATAGAAATTATAGTATTTTAAGGTGCAGATGAACATGATTGTGTTCAGAGTAAACTGACCAATATGGCAAAGGTTTCTCTTATCAAGAGAAGTAGAAAAATGAACAAGGAATGTGTGAATTGTAGAAAATAGTTTACAAATCTGAAGGGCTGTAAATGGAAATGAGAAACTGAAATTGTTATATATGGGCCCATATGGAGGAATTAGGAGAGATATCAGAGGGAGACAGATTTTAGCTCAGTTATAAAGAACAATTTGTTATCTGATGATAGAAAATGCTATCTGAGGAGCTGGTGAGCTTCCTGTCATTAAAGGCATTCAGGCATAAAACTGATCAGTGGTTGGGCAAATTATGTCCACAGGCTGAATTCAATCCACCAGGTGTTTTTATAATAAAGTTTTATTGGAACACAGCCACTCCCATTTGTTTCCATATTGGCTTTGTCCACTTTAACACTATAGAAGAAAAGTTGCATAGATGCGATGAAGACAATACAGCCCACAAATTTTAAAATATTTACTATCTGGCCCTTAATGGAAAATGTTTGCAGACTCCAGTGAATAAGGTATTAGAAATTCAAATACTTTATGGATGTCTGGACAAGACAATCAACAAGATGATGTTACTTTGTGCTTAGAAAAGTTCCAAATACATCATCTGTGCTAAGGACTGAGTTGTGCAGGTCTTTACTGTATGGCAACCCAGCCAAGTTGATGAGTGTTGGTTAAAATTCATACTGCACTATTTTCAAAGTTGTGTGCCATGATGTGGGGCTTTATCTGCCAGAAAGAGAAGTCATACTTGTCTAATTTGCACAAAGCCACCCAAATGACCAGCATAAAATTCAAACATGAATAACAATGTTAACAAAAATAAGATCTCTTCCAATCCAGAGGATCTACGATCTCATAACACAGACATTCTATAACTTTAACTCCTAACCCAGAGTCTCTATATTTACATCCCATGGAAATGAAAATAAATGTTCCCTGAAAACAGTTTTCATGTTTTGACAAATGCTACAAACTACAACCTCTACTGCAGAATGACACATTGCAAATTAGCATTTTAAAAGCTCTGAGAAAGATTGCCAGTTGAAAACCAACCAAAAGAGCGCTATTTAACTTTAGGACACATAGCATTTTACAAAGTTGCTTCACTGTGGAACCCTTTTTATGAACCTACAATGAATATGTCACACAATTAACAAAATTATCTAATAAATAAACAAATTGGTTTAGTTCTTGTAGATGTAACTAATCCATGTGATGCATGCATTGTTAATTTCATTAAGTAAAACAGGCTATAATTATTTATGTGATGGGGGACACAAAGTTATCCTCTTTCCACTGAATCCATTAGCCATTAAATAGTGTTAACAGCAAAATAATCTTGCACAAGTACATTTCAGCTATGTTCCCTCTGCTCTGTGGGATATGTTTAAGCATATAAAGCTATTCAAGACACACTCTATGATACTTTAAGGTTACAGAACTGGTCAATTATCTAACAGATTGACAGCACATATATCAGAATATAGGCTTGACAAGTTCAAAGTCAGTCAAAGCAAACTTTTACCTGAAGAAGGTGACAAAAAACTGCACAAGGTCCATGATTGTATTGTGTTGTGAGAATGCAATCTGAAAAATCAAAATAAAAAAAATTGAAGGTATGTTCTTCTCTAAAACCTGTGGTGATACTTTGTGACATTTGTAAATATAGTTTTTCTAAATCACCAAGACATTTGGATTGTCATATTATAAATCAAATATGTGATGGAATCAAAACTTCATCTAGAATACCTAATATATCCAACTGCTAATGATGGTCATAGCATAGAATATGACATGAAATATTTTAAAAACGATTAGAAAATTACTTTAAGGATATATGCTAAGAGTTTCATGTGAAATACTACGACAGATTAAATATGCCTAACCAAAACACCCAAATTTTCAACTCAGTTAAGAAAATAGGGAATTTTCTCCCTATATATCTTCATCTGGAGAAGCTTCATATATATATATATATATATACACACACACAAATGTTTTGTTTCACACCATTCAAATAATAAAATATGTCACATCATTTTAAAACTTGTTAATGTTAATAAGAAGTTAATTTTAAAAAGTGAAACTAGCCAAAAAAGTTAAAATCATTCTCCATTTCTTTTAACATTATAGAGATCATACTATAACATCTGCCTTGAGGAAGAGTATTATAGTGTATCATTCAACAATATAGCATCTGGATAGAGAATAACTGATGGTGTAATGTGGCTTTTCACTTACTAGCCCTGTATATTTTGAAAAACTAGTCTATTTATCAGTTTCCCCATATGTGAATGGTAGTAATAAAAGCATCTACCTTATAATATTATAGAAAATCTAACTGAATTAATACAAATTTAATGATTACCATAATTTCTGGCATGTAAAAGTTACAATATAAACATTATTAAACTTCTGTATCATGTATAAATGAGATGTCAGTATAAGTGAGTTTTCTCACATTGCTGAAGCTAAACCATTCAGGTATTAAAATCTTTTTCTTTTAATAATATTTTATGAAAATCTTTCAAAAACATAATAGAATTTCTACTGAAAAGGAATGAGTTTTCTCTCCTGCTGTAAATAGCTGGAAAACCAGGTGAAGTATATGAAACAACCAATTTCAGGAATTGGACAAGTGGCCGGAGATTATGATCCCTGAGTGAAGAAAAACAAAGGAAATGAATCCTATAATTGTCCCAGTTTTCAGTGCAAGGAAAGAACACTAAGGAATTTAAATGGCATTCTAAAATAAGGGATGTCAGTATTTCTTATGTAAAGAATTACAGTAAGTTGAGAAAATGATTCTTTGGCATGTACATGTAAGCTTAAATATAGTAATATTCATTTCCTACGAGCTTCTAAGCTATTGAATTATGAAACACTTATACAAAGGCTGAAGAAAGATACTGGCATAGGAGATTGGTTATGGGTGAAAATATCATAAAAGATTAAAGAAAAAACATCTTTTAAAGTTTAAAATACTGAATTTTCTTCCTAGGTGATTGTCCATAAGAATGTCATAGAAATGAAGCTTATCAAAGAATATTGTCAACAAGAACTTAAATCCATGGTAACAGAATTCTGGAAACAATAATTAAGAACTAACAGGAAAATCTTCAAAATAATAATATTTTGAAATCATAATAAAGAAAATTAGTTTAATTAAGCAATAGGAGGAAACCTTATGCAGTGTTGATAAATATAAATGAAAAGGGGGTATAAGGAGCTTGAACAAAGGCTTAAATAAATTAGCAAATATATAAAAAAAGAGAACAGATGAAATAACAAAATAATAAATATAACATAAAATTAACAAAATAAGATAAAGTACAATTGCAGTAAATATCAACAGGCTGAATCCACATTGAAAGACAGACATTTTTGCAGTAGATTAAAATATACAATTCAGCTTTATGTTTTTAGCAGAAAACACATATAGAACAGTGACACATTTTTAGTCAAAACATAAAATACTGTAAGAAGATATAATAGGCCCTTAAAAACAAGAAAACATGTAAACCAATATTAATGGCAAAGTGAAATTCAAAGTCAAAACCTGATCAAATAAAACACTGAGACAAAGAAAATATAACAATAATAAAACAATATACACCAAAAATACAGGCCAAATAAGTAAAAACACAATGCCTGGACATATAAGGGGAATTTGATAATGACAAAATTTTGGAAGAAATTATTAAGATGCATATCTCTTTTAAAAGTTATCTGATCAAAAATACACAAAATTAATCTATTTAAATAATTTAAATCATGTAAAAATATTCAAGAAATAGTCACTAAACAAGTTCTGTTCTAGGTGCTAGTGACACCATTGTAATAAGACAAAGCTCCTATTATTTTGGTGTTTATTTTCTAATAGCAAGAGGGAGAAAATAACCAGGTAAACTTGTAGCGGGATATCATAATTGTTGACAGTGGTGTTTTTAGTGGGAAAAAAAAGATGATATGGGCTAGGAGGATTTGCGGCTAATTTGGATCAGGTGGTTAGAGCTGTTGGTCACACTAAAGGGGTGATATATGAGCTTTTATCCAAATAAGATGTTTAAAACCACAAAAATGTCTGTTGGTAGAGGTTTCTCAAGTGTAAAGATGATGATTAGGTTAGACATGTTTATGAAAAGTCATAAGATCTGGAGTATTGTGAGCAAAGGACAGAGTAGTTGTAAATAAATTCGGACTAGAAAGCAAAAAGCAAGTCACATAGGTTATTGGCCATGACAAAGAGTTCACAACATATTATAAGGGCAATGGGAACCCATGGAAAGTTTTGAGCTATCGGAATGACATGATCTAACTCTCAAGAAAAATATCATTCTGGCTGTTGGATGAGAAATAAATAACTGAGGGGATCCAGAAGATAAGAGAGGAGGATATTTGATTTTTCTAGTCATAAGGTGATAGTAGCTTGCAGAAGAGTAGTAGTCATCAAGACAAAAATAAGTAGTTGGGAACATAATTTAGAGAGAGAAGTGAGGAGACATGCTGAAGGATTAGATATGACAGGTGAATGAAGGAGAAGAATCAATCATGACTATTGCAGTTTGCTCTCACAAGAACAAGTGAAAAGATATTTCTACTTACTGAGAATAGAAAAGGGCCATGAGGATCAAGGGAGAAATAAGAAAAGAAAAACTTACTTAGAATATGCTAAATGTGAAATACCTATTAAATGTTCAAGAGTAGACAGTAGCTACTAGCTTGAAGCTCAGAGGAAAGGTTAGATTTAAAAATTTGGAAATCAAAGGAACATAAATGTCATTTTAAAATCATGTACTTGTATGATAGTCCCTAGGAAACAGAATAGATGCAGAAGAAATTATCTCTAAGAGGATATTCAGGGCCACCCCATCATTAGCGCTTAAAAGAAGAACTGGAAAGGTAGGTGGGAGGAAACCAGGAAAGGGTTGTGTCAAGGCGGTCAAATAAAAGAAATGTTGCAATAAGAAAGTAGTGGTTGATTTTGTTGGTTAAGATGAGGATGAAAATATGGCTACTGGATTTAACAACATAAACTTCATGAGTAATTTACACAAATGAACTTTCAACAGAGTGGTGGGGATGTTAATATAAACAGAATAATATACAGAGAATGTGGAACCTGACAAAGTAGAAACAAACTACAGGCTGAACTTTCAAGAATTATGTTACAAAACAGAGCAGAAATCAACAAGAACACAGACGATTTAAAATATATATTTTAATCCATAGAACATTTTTAAAAGAAGACAATAAACACTGTACAGAGAAAGTATTTTTAAAAATCTAAATGGTAGCTTTTATGAGCTGTATTAACATATTCCAATAAAATAAAATTAAAACTATAATTTCAAATATGGCCAAAACAAGCTTAACTACTTAGAAATTAACAAATGCAATCCATGAGACAGAGTTCTGAGTGGGCAGTGGGAGTAGTAGGATAGTTTTTGATATCCTTGACTTCCAATATTAAAATATACAGCAGCTAAATTGAAAAGCCAAAAACAACAACAACAACAACAACAACAATTCTAACAAAAGTAAGTGGCAGATTATCCCCTTAAATGCCAAAACATAAACCGGTATGGGTAAATGACAAACCCAAGGTGTATATGCTACCAGTGTCTATGAGGCAGGAAAAAGAGGGAATCAACAGGAAAACTCAAAAGTTTCAAAAAGGTATTAACTAGAACTAGGCCAGTCCAATTTGAATAAGAAAGTGAAAGCAGAAGTGTAGAATTGCTCAATACAAGAGTAGGTTAGTTCAAAGGGATCCTGAGGAAGTTCTAAAGAAGCCTGGAACAGTTGGAGTACATGAATTTTCAAAAGCAACCAGTCAAATCTCTATCCCAGGGCAGGTCTCATAATGAGGAGAAACTGCTAAAAGTGAAAATGAAAATTAAGCAGAACAAAGTAAATATAGACAAAACAAAGAAGGTCCAACAAAAGTGGGGAAAGGAACTGAGATGGAAAATTTTCAAAGAGTAAGTGGCACATTTGCAGGGGAAAAAAAGTATTGATTATTAACATATATAATATTCAAATATGGGCCTTCACTAATCCATTTGTGCAATCCCTATTTAACTCATTATTATCACTCCCAAATATCTGCCATTCTTTAACATATAAAAAGATTTGGCATTTCTTTAATTTAAACGGTAAGTAAGTAGTGGGAGTAACCAACAGAGTAACAATATACTTAAATTGGTGAAGCACACGATTCAGGCTGGAATGGCAGAATTTTATTATGGTTTACCTGCCATCTGTGGATCCATATAACTAAGTACCTTATAAGAAAGATCATAATTTCAGGCAAGTAAGCAACACATACACACACATGAAACATCTCTATATATTTTTTTACATCTGTCCAAAGAATATTTGAATAAATAAAGTAGCCAGAGGAAAAATGACTACTTCTTCAAGTAAAAGTCATAAAGTAAAGAATCGAAACATTCTAAACCTTGAAATAATTATATTATCTATCTCTACCTATTAATAAATATAATAAAGACAAATGTAAAGAAATATGAATGTTATTTTGATTCCAGCTTGTTTTCAGAGAATAAGCTGAAATACCACTTCTG